ATTACTCAGAAGACACTACAAATATCTATAAAACGTTATACCTCAGCATAACATTTACGATAAGAAATATCAACAGTACTAAATAGAGCACAATTTATGGCATTTGCATTGTAAAATGATGTTGAAACAATCCAAAATCACTTGTCATCAAAACAAGAAGTACATCAACAAGTTATACCTCAACAGGAAGTGAATGACAAGAAGTGGGAATTAGGAAAAGGTAAGCCTTATCAGGATCTTTGGTTAAGAACCGGCTCTGATAAAGATTCTCTAAGAACAATCCTTCGCTTGCATACTCGCCTTCAAGCTTCTTCGGTTCATCACAGGAATGTTATTATGATGGTACGCAAAGATCTTGAAGTTCTTCTCCATTTCCATATAATCGACATTGAAATCCTCAGGATTGTGAAAGAGTTCAGCAAAAATATCAGAATCTTGAGCAGAAGCTTAACGTGGCGCCTATAATATATTGTATGAACAAGAAAACAAAAGGCAAGAAAGTGAGAGGAAGTGAAAGAAAGTTGAATGTGTCTGATAATCTTTAAAAGAAATGAAGTTGACCAAAAATTATATGAAAATGAACAGTGATGGAAAATACAACAAAGGAAGAAATGCAAGACAAAGAGTACCTGAAAAGATAGTGGGAATGCAGGGTGATAGATTGAAAGAACTATAACAAAAAAATAGGCAAGTCCTCATCTAAGAGTCCAAAATTCGTTTGCTGAATTTTTGGAGGATTTGGAGTCTTCATGTTGGTTTTCTTGGATGAATTATTTATGTTTTTTCTCAAGGAAATTGAAGAGAGAAAATAAGAGAGTACTGAAATTGGTTTCTTGCTAAATTTATGTGCGTGTAGAGCGAGAGGAAAGGAGGGAAAAGGTGGCGGTTGGATTAGATAGTTTAGTTGAAGGATAATTGCTGTTGATTGCAAAATACCCCCTACCCCAATATGGACGGATGCAAAAAAAAAAAAAAATCAAATGAAATATATATAATGCTGAAATTAGTAATTAGTTTTGATGGATAGAAAAATTAGAAGAAAAAAATACATATGTTTTGAGAATGAGAAAATAATTTCAAGAAATTATAATGGAAATAAAAAATAAAAGTTGAGAAAAAATTGCACGAAAAAAATATTGGTTTCAACCTTTATTATAAATTGATAACATTATCATCAAATTGTAATAAATCTGTAAATAAAAAAATGAAATAGAGAAATTTAATATATTTTAGAATACAAAAATAATACTAAAAACTTATTAAAATAACTTATATAGTTCTAACAATGATTGAATAAGAAAAAATAGATTTTGATATAAAATCACTTATTGACCAGTTTTTGCTATTTTTTACGTTATTGAGCATAACTTTTAATTTGACTATCAGATTCGGCTGAAATCGTAAAAGGAGCGTCTTGACACATTTCTCTATCATGGGTTTAAATTTTAAGGTAGTCTAAGTTTGAAAAATATCATGCGAGAATATCAACACTTGAACCAAAAATAATATGTATGCTTATTAATAATATTTTCATAAATAAGTTACGAGAATATCAACATTTGAACCACAAATAACATGTATGCTTTTTAATAATATTTTCATAAATAAGTTGGGAAAACTAAAAATTCATATACTTTTTCCCCTTTAAATTTCCAGCGAGTGCTAAAAAAATTAGAAGAGAAAGAAAATTTGAGAGTTTCCTTACTAAAATCCTAAAGAGAAATTAAGATTTAAGACAAAATAGATGAGAGAGTGAGCTATCTCAAGAATTAAAGGGAAAATCAAGTGAGAAAAAGGAAATAAAGAGAGGAAACTCACAACATTAAAAGGAAAAAAAACAAGCAAAAAACTTCAATTACTTAACATTCAAAGTTCATATCATTATCGGATTAGATGTTATAAACTCGATTGTATAATTAAAGATTAACAAAGTTTATGCAAAACTATTAAATTTTGAATTAGGGTTCTTAAATGTTAGATTGGAAAAAAGAAAAATTGTAAAAGTATGATGTTCTTGGGATGGAATAGTATGTAAATAACTCCAAATAAAGCATAATTAAAAAAGAAAAATTAGGTGTTTACGATGAAAAGTATAGCTGGACATTTAGGTGGGGACATTTGGAACCAAAGTAATTGAAGAAGAAAAATTGTGTATTTAGAATATGTTGTTACGTTGATGGGGATTGAAATGGATTTTCAATGTAACTTGAAAATAAAACTATGAGAAATTAATGTAATAAATAATTTATGGTTATGTATTAATTGGTTAAAATAAATAATTTATGGTTAGTTATAGTGATGATTGGTTGAACGATTATTTGCTTATTTATATTGAAAAATAGATATTTAAAAGTGTTGATAATAAGAAGATCTAAATGTTTGCAACATATGAAGTCTTATAGGGAGCAATTATGAATTATAAGAAGAAGAAAAATAGAATTTTATGGAGTATCTTTTTATAATATATATGTAAGTTCTTATATAAAACTTTATATAAGAAGCTTATAATTTTTGGATTCTTAGGATCTTTATCAATATAGTTATATCAAAATTAGATCTTGAATCTGTCCCTACCTTACCCTATTTAGTTATTGCCCACAATGCTTAGTTTCAACTTTATCAAAGCCTTATCAAAGTTATTACATCCTGTTGGTTCAAAATTATTTAGATTCCTAATGACCCTCTTGGGTTTCAAATGATATATAACTGACATACAAATAATTTTATTATTATTATTATTATTATTATTATTATAAAGGATCAATTGCATGTTTTGGCCAACAAACCCAAGCTTAAGGACGTTCATCTTAAAACACTGCCCAACTAACTTGATATTTAAAGAGAAGGTTACAAGATAATTTATGTTCCCTTCTTATATATTTTTTTTCATCTCTGTCATGACTTGCTCTTATATATACCAAGGATTTCAATTTAGCTTAAGTTTTTTGTTCTATTTTTTTATTAAGAGATTGATTATAGAAGGATTTAATAAGTGTTTAGGGTTTTTTTATATTAATTTGATGCTTGAATGATTTAAGGGATTTAATTAATGTTTTATGATGCTAACTAGCTTAAAACGAACTGAATTGATGTTTTGAATTTTAGATTTTAAAGAACAAATTAGATGTTTAATTTATGGAATCTAGAGATTTAAAAACTAATAGACCATAATTCTAGAAATCTTAATCAACCAGTCAACTAAAATTATCAATCGATTGACTAGTTGATCCTGATTTATTAGTTGTTCTAAACCGGCTAACAGGTTAGTTTGTAATGTCAGTTGACTAGTTGGTCTAAACTGACTGACTGGTTAGCCTGTTATGGCAATTGACCAGTTGGACATTTTAGACATCAGGATTCAAGTGTCATCTAACCACTTTCGGATGTTGTCTGATCTTTAATATGTATTTCACTATCTTATATTAATATGCTTAATATGTATATTTATATCAAGATATCAACTTGCAAACTATCAATATCTAAGATGTATGTTAAATGTTGTTCCCTCACTTAGTTGGTTGAACTCATATATTTATTTTAATATTATTTTAGGTTATTAATTTTTATATGTAGGTGGACTTTGTTGACTAGTATTTTTCTTGCTTTTTTTTGTTTTAGTCGGTATGTTTTGCTTGTTTCCCAAGGTTTTTGTTTTAGTTTTTTATTTGATATTTTAGACACTTCACTATTATACTGTTGAATAGTAGACAATCTAGTTAAATATAAAACCAAGTTAACTAAAAAAAAGATTTAGTTAATCCTACATGTTACAAAAGTATTGTGGGTTGCTTGCGTTATCTAACATGTACCAGACCAGACATTTTGTTTGGAGTGGGCTTGATTAGCATATATATCGAGAAGTCGAAAAGTTCACATTTGAAGATAGCAAAGAGGATCTTTCATTTTTTAAAAGGAACATCAAGCTATAAATTGTTTTATTATTCATAAAATCTTGAAATTACAGATTATAGAGACAGTGATTGAGCAGGAAATTTGAAAGACAGAAAAGGCACAATTGTATTTGTATTTTTATGAGAAAAACAACTTTCATGTGGACATCAAAAAAACATTTATTGTTGTATTATCCACATATAAAGCAAAATACATTGTTGTTGCATCATGTATATATCATGCAGTATGGCTAAGAAAACTGATAGAAGATTTGTAGCAAAAACATAACAAGGCTACAAGAATCTTTGTTGGTAACAAGTCTGCTATATTTCTTGTAAAGAATCCAGTTCATTATGAAAGTTCAAAACATATTGATTCTCAATTTCAGTTTACTAGAGAGCACATAAAAGAAGGCGATGTGGAGTTCATTCATGTCAAAACTTATGAATAAATTGTTGATATTTTACTAAGCCATTAAAAACTGATGTTCTTTGTTATTTGCAGAAATTATGAATAAATTGTTGATATTTTACTAAGCCATTAAAAACTGATATTCTCTGTTATTTGTAGAAAAAGCTTGGAATCGTAAAGATGGATAGAACAAGTTTAAAGGGAACAATGTTAGTTATTAAACTTGTTTGTTAAGATTAAATGTATTGAAGAAATATTATGAATCTAGATTGAAAAGTCTAATATTAATTAATTAAATACTATAAAGATTATAAAAGATGTTCCTTAATGTCTATTTATATTGTATGGTTTTTGATAATGAAAACGTGAAAGTACTCTTATTTGTATTGTATTCCATCAAAATCATGTGAATAATAACCCTTCTGTGTTATTTTTTTCCAACAATTCAAGGATACACAAAGGGTTACACCAATTTGAAGTTACCCCTTATCTCCATCAGAAGGAAGAGATTGTTCTTTTATATATTTGAAGGCGATATCCTTATGTGGAATATACTTGGAATCGTAACTTGAAGAACACATAAGGCGAGCCGTATTCTTCTCTAGAAATGGAATATTTTCAGCAGCCCTCATTCCAATATCATGGCAACTCACAAAAACATGATCAGCACCTTAAGTCTTTTAGACTATTGGGATAAAATTGCAGAATTGTTATTTTTCCACAAGAATCAATCTATCCGAATCATAATATCCAAAACCAGTGCGCTATCGCTTATATCAAACTACGAAAAGAGCAAAGTGAACCATTTCGTATGGTTCGAGATACGAAATACGTACTTTTTTAGTCATTTTTTGGCTAAAGATTGGAATAAAGAAGAGATGAGCCTCCTCCGCATCATCGGTAAGAAAAGGACTCATTTTGAGATTACTGAAGAAATATTCTTCGCTTTCGTATTTGCTGTTGTGCTTGCTCGGTAAATCACTATACTTTGTTATGTTTCTATCTTGGTACACGAAGACCATAAATTCCCTCTCCATTTCCGCATAATTCATCCTGAAAACTGTAGGTGAGTGAAAGACTTCATTCAGAGAATCTTGGACCTGAGCCAAATAATCATTCATAAAACCATAAAAGAAGCATTAAGAGAGGCCTAAAAAAGTGAATAAACTGAAGGGAAAACGAGAGAATTACTGAAACAGCAAGGAGAAACATAGAATCTTGGCATATAAAAGTAAATTCAGGAAAGAGTTATGAGTATAGCTATAAGGAACCTGATCTGAATTCGCATTCATGGCCATAGAAGGACATAAAAATAGCATAAATATCATAAATCTTGAATCCCAGAATCACATTCATAAACAAGAAAAAGAAAATGCATAAAAATGGGCTTGCAGAGATTAAAGAAAACAACAAATTAAGTACAAGAAGTGAAAGAGAGCACCTGATCAGATATGAATTGGGGAAAATACTGGTTCACAACATAGTGCTCTAGCAAGCAACTGGATGTGTAGAAAACGATGACAGAAATGAGAAGTTGTTTTAATGCCCATTTCCGAAGCAAGTAGCGGAGGATGTTAATGTTATGTGCATTCATGTTCATCATCTTCTCGGGAAAATTGTTCTTGTAAGAGAAAGTTTGGAACTGGTGGTTTCTTGGAGAAGAGAGAAGTGAGAGAAGTCAAATTTTAGTTTTTTTGGCGGAGAAAGTTTTCTAGAATCTGCAGCTGTTAGTTATTTCCGGTACTTGCTGCCTCTGGAAGAGAAAGCAATCACAGTTGGGCCCGATCCTTCTCTGGACGGTCTAGGGAATTTGGGGCAAGTGGTCATGTATAACGGTCTAGGCCCAATTATGGTGAGTCTTTTCCCCTTTGACCACATCGTACAAAGTTGTCATACCCGGATACGAGCTTGGGTTAATAGGTTGTCAAATCAACCTTAAAATAATATTATTTCATTGATATATTCAATTTTTGGTTGGGTTAATTGAATTATAAATTAAATCACTATTTTAATTGGATCAATATCTAAATTAATTTAAAAAAATCCAGCTTGTTAACCTTTTAGGTAGGGCTAGATTTACATGGTTACATGGTTATAACAACGTCAATCTGCGTGGTTACACGAAGTGCACAAGGAAATTTCAGGCATGTTTTTGCCTTCTCGATCAGATACATTGGACATGGGCTTAAGCCAGACTGACTGCACAAGGAAAAAGGTATAGAATGTTAGACCATTATATTAACCCACGACGGTAAGCACCACAAACGCAATTTTTGCAGCAATGGAGGTTTGATAACATGAAATTGGGAGGCGGATCGAGCCAAGTATAGGAAATTTATGAAGAGGTCTACAGGACATTGACGGCGATGCTCTTATTTGTCCATGTAGCCGTAGAATCACATCACTTTGTTCCAGTAACGTTTTTTCAAGCCCATAGACGGTGGGATTTGACGGAGTACAAAACGAAGACATTGGCTTGCAAACTAAATGTTGCAAATTCAAAACATTTCACTATTAACACAGTTATCTTTCCAAATCTGTTAAAAAAACCCGAGGAAAATGGCAACAAGGAAGCAGCTATCAACATCAAATCCCTAGAAAATTCCACTCTATCATGGCAAATCCCAGCACATACATGGATACCATACTCTGTATAAAGACACTCAACACCTGGAAAATCAAAGAAATGCGAACCTACATTACAGGTGTTTGGAAGCTCAATAATGCTGACGACTAGCAAGCACCACAGGACACTCTCAGTGCTCCTTCAAAGTTTTATTTGATCAAAATGATCCGGACCAGCAATCCTGACTGGAAATTGAACGGCAATTTTCATAATAGCACATAGGTCAAAAAAAATATATTAAGCAACCCCCCAGTTATTCTTCATGGAGCCTCGTAAAAAAATGCAATTATAACCCTATACTACATCAGAGAAACAGAGATATGGAGGGGAGCAACACAACTTCCGGTTTGCTTATGTCTTTCTAAGCCATCTTTGAAAGTTGGGATTCCAATAATCTGGAAGTTGCATGCGTAAGGTGACTTAGAAATTCGAAGAAATATAATATGCCTGGCCACTTTTAGGAATTGACTATGCTCGATCAAATGGCTTAAAAGTCTACTGTTGGGTAGAGACCTGGCATGTAAGCATGTCCACTTCCATTAGAATCAGCATATAGATGTGGCTGTAGCTCCCCCAAGTGGGATGACTTCCGGGACTTCGGGTTCTTAGGAGAAGCTGTGTAGGAATCACTGGAACCACTGCTATACATAGTTGATGTTGGCAGTCCATGGATCTTTGGCAATCCTGTGGAATCAGAACTCAAACTGTATCCTCTTTCAACAGTTTCAGCTTCCAAAGGCAATTCATCCAATGTCTGAAAAGAAAGAATACAGCAAATTAGATGCCAGGAATTTCTCAGCACATCTACATTCGCAATGCAGAAGCAGCTAAAGAACCTCATGACAACAGAGCAATTGAATTTCACATCCACATCTGGTGACAAAAGCCTACTGATGCATGCTAGCTTTTGGGTAGCAAATAAGTTCTTCAAGAGGAGAGGGTAATTAGGGTCACCATGTACAAGATAAACAATGCGCTACGCAGGAAAGATTAAAATCTTAAAGGTCACCCCATTTAATGAAACACTTATGTTCTTTACCTGCTCATCCGAGTTCTGACAGTAAGCCTGTTAAATGCTTGCATAAATATGCAGATACCAAACGCCATATACATGTGCAGTTGAAAAAAATTAACTCCAGTCCCAACACCAAAGAGCTTAAGGAAAATTAATACTTATAGAGAACCATAATAGAACTTGAGGACAGTGTGAAGGTATATGGTCTTTGCTGATTAGAGTCATGAAAAGCCTACCCTAAATGCCTGTTGAAGAACTCTAAGTTGTTCTCGTGTCTGCTTTCTCTTCATTGCTATCTCATCAGGTTCCTGCAACATCTCCTCAAACAGATTCTCCCTGTTTCAGGAAGACACGGAAATCCAGGTTTAACACATGATTAGTTTACATTACACGAGTGATAATTGGAAGGATGAAATCAGAACCAATGACTAAAATCAATGTAAGACATTATCATACCTGTAAAGTTTTCTAATGAAGACATTGTGCAGTTCACGCTTTGTATGGTTTACCTACATAATGAATCCAAGTGACATCAGAACTAATCGAATATGACAAATGACATCCAACTATTCTAGCCGAGATGACCCAAAATGTTCTTTCATTTTGAATTTTAGCAGTGCAATACTTAAAACATTAGAGAACTTGTCCAAACTGCCATTCCATCATGGTAGTTTTTCTAGTGGTGGTGGAAACAAGAGTTTTGGAACATTTTGAAAATATAAACACTAGGCAGTTGCATACAATGTTTGGATAAGATTGATACTGGTTCTATAGGCCATGCTGCCATACCCAATAACTCTTGTTTCTTTAGTTGAACTTTTCAAAAGAGTTAAAAAAAATCTTGCAAGTAAAATTTTTTTTCTTTTATTTTGGTGAACAGAAGTTCATGTTATTAACAGCAAAAATTACAGAAGAACAAGATGACCATAAAGATGGTAGATAATATACCCAAAAGGAGAGCAGATATGAATAAAAACAAAAACAAAACAGTGAGAAACCAATAGAAAGACCCAAAATAAGATGAGATCACACAACAGCCGATTGTAAGTGTAATAGCAATTATACAAAGGCCACAAGAAAGTAACAGGTAAACCAACACTGATTAAGAATTACCAGAAAGTGCATAATTGCTTTTGGTATGGAGTCCTCAATATTTTTCCGAACGATGTCGTAGTATGATCTCAACAGCAATTTTGTGACTACAATTTCTATAGACTCATGCTCAGAATGGTTTTCTGAAGGCCTCAAGACAGTTGGGGGCTAAAAAACCACAAAAATATTCCTGTTAGGATAAAGTGCATTAAGAATAAAAAAATTAAAAACAAAATGGGAAATTTGTTACAATAAAATGCATTGAGAATTAAAAAAAAAAAAAAAGGAAATCAGATTATGCTCATAAGCTAATCAGGACTAGTATTAGAGACAACATACCTCTCTTAAATGAATCAGAGACAAGCTTTGTTCCAAGGGTTCTATGCTCTGAGCAGGTTCATTGTATGACTTGCTTGTTGAATTTTCTTTAGCATACATTCGAGAATGATCACCTCCACCAAAAATTGATGAGATGCCCCAACTTGAAACATTTGTATTGCCTGATAAAACAACTTAAGTGTCTAAAAATGGATGTGTATATCCAAAGGAATTTCTCGGTAGAAAATTACCAGGTGGGACCTTTTCAACTTCTGCCACTGGATGTACTCCCTGTAAGTCATACAAAGACCAGTTTGTCTAATTAGACAAGCTCCATAACAGTATGCACTACAATAAAATTAAAGGTTTAAGAATAAACTAGAAAGCAAAAAAAGTCATGCCTGATCCGGCATGATCCCATTTACTTGTCTGGCCAGAATACCACGAGTCTTCATGCTCCTTTCAGAAGCAGGTGCCTTTTCAGGCTCTATGCCATCCTAATTGACAATAAAAATGAAAAGAATAGGGACCACAAGAAAAGAATATGGGATCTAACAAGCAGTGTTGTCAAAGGTTAAAAAAAGGCGCTAGAAGGCACCAAGCTTGTAAAATGCCTGAGGTGCTAGGCGCTCGCCCGAATGAACCAAGGCCCTATGCTATAAATTAAAAAAAAAATGTAATATTATATCATATTATATAAATGTGTGTGTGTGTGTGTCTTCCCAATTAAGAGTAGATCATTAGAAAATCAAAAGAAAATATAAAATACCATAACATAGTAATATAAAGTTATATTTTTCACCCTTAAAAAAAATAGATAATTTAAAGTAGTAAGTAGCCAAATAGATTAAAAAGCAAAATTAAATATCAATTAAAAAAAAGACAAATAGGTCAAAACATAAATCAGTTAAAAACAAATCCAACCAAAAAAAAGAACTTCAAGCAGGCGCTAGCATTAACACCTTCCACCCACACACAAGGCACTCGCCTAGGCGGCGCTTCATTGAAACCCAACTCCTGAGGCTAATAAAGGTGATGGGGCCTCACCTCGCCTCGCCTAGAGTGCCTCTTGACAACACTGCTAACAAGTAAGAAATCAAATAGTGGATACAACAGTGCTAAGGATCATTTGCATAGCAGGCATACCTTTTGCCTAGGCATAGCAATAGAACCCCTTGACGACTTGATCTGCTGCTGCGCAATATCCACAGCCTTACTCCCACCGATAAAATTTGGGTGGGAAGTATTTATGTAGTCCATCTACAAAGAGAATTAAATGTTATGCAATATTGGAGATGGGCTCAACAACACAATTGCTTGTACTGACATGGTAAAGAAACCAAAGAACAGAGAAAGCAAACAGGTTTGGAACTGCAAGGCATATGTGTGACTATCTTTTCGCTATCCAGTAAGAACTTTCAAACACATAGAACAGTAGAAAGGGCCATCATTTGGGAAGTGACCATAGAGTTGCAGGTTAAAGGTCTAAAAATTACAAAGTTGGCAGGAAAGGTAGGAAAAGAAAATCCTCAAAGGAAGAATAGTCTACAACTCTCAATGCCAACAGAAAGTTTGGTCAAAACAAATACAACAGAAAACAAGTCAACAAAATGAATGCACAAGGATTGAAAGGAGAATGGAGATATAAAGCATTATAAACCAGAAAACTTTACCAATAAGATTTTGAAAAATATTGGGATGAACATACCTCCATTTCAATAATATGTCCAATCATTGTCTCTGATGGTTCAAGACCATCTCGCAAAAAGTTTCCAATAACTTCATCCATGCGCTTTCTTAGAACAGGAAACCGCTGAAGTTCATTCACTAGACAGTGATGGCTAATCTGGAGAGAAATTTCCTTTGAAGATTCAACAGTGCAAATGCTAATTCTAAAAAAGCCTCAATCACAGCATCCCTACCTTTATTAATTCGTTGTATATAAACCTGGCACACTGAAGGCTTGGATCTAATAAACGAGCTATTTGCTTCCTGATTAGAACTTCAAATGGCACCTACATAAATGAAAACCAAAATCATTACGCTGCTGTTTAGAAATAGAAGCCTTCATAAGATGCAAAAGTTAAAACACAAAAAAAAGTTTCCACATGTAAAAAAGAAAAGTAACACTTTTTATTTGAGAAAAAGAAATGATAAACCAACCTCTGGTACAAACAGTGGAGTTCTAGGACCGGTGGCATTCTGAATGATAGTTTGAATGTCACCATCAGTCAAGTCCTCACAAGGATCGACCTCCTGCACAGCAAATCATGTAACATCAGATTCAGTCAATTCAGTAATGAGCAGCAAATTACAGTCATTTTTTGCCCAAAAGTACTTGTCACACTGCCCACAGGATGGTAGTTACGTCACCCAAGCAACTGAATTTTATTGAACAAAACAAGCTTAATGTACTAGAAATATCATTGTAACCTCTCATTGTTCAAAATGAAAGGAGCAAAGACTTTTTAAACTTGTAACTGGTGACTATCATTCAAAGATCTAAAAATATTAGTTATTTAAAAGCACAAAAGTGGCAGAATGGCATGACCATACCTAAAGTAAATCATTCAAGTATGAGAGTAGCTAAATTTTTGGAAATTGTAAATTAAAACTATAGAAACAAACTACTTATTTTGGAACCCCATGAATAAAAAAGATAAGATAAAAGACATTGTCAAAATATATAAAAGAACCACAAACATGAGTAACAATTTTTTTACTATTATTTAAATGAATTCATTAATTTTAATGGGTGAAAGAACAGAGCAGATCTCTTGGCGGAGAAGTGTAAAATGCCATAATGGCAGGATAGCAGAGCGCATGCAAGCATAGCCATGTAGGCTTTTGTACAATTTTCCATAGTCTAGTTACATTATAGTTTCTACAGCACCACAGAGTAAAAATTCTTAAATATAAAAATAGATGCATAAAAACACTTGTAAACAACCGCCTCTATCTCCATGGTTTCATGACATTCTAGAAACCCCATTCCATGTAAAAAGCGATACTCAGGTCTGCACCACAAATGAATAGTTCCATTTAATTTCTGAGAGAAGAACCAAGAAAGTTAAAGCCGATCAGCAAACCAATGAGGCATTGGTCCAGAGGTTAAAGATTCAAACTTAAGGCATTACAACTTGGAGTGCCCCCATCCAAATCCCCTCTCCAAAATAAATATATTATCCCCAAAAAAAGGGCTTGTTTTACTAGACTTACAATAGGTAATCAGGCTTTCACTCTATTCAAGCATGCACATGGAACTGATAGAAATTTGTTACATCAATCCTATTAAATGACCACTGTTCACAAGGAAGCACATGAAAATATTAATATACACACCTCTAAACTCTTCACAAAGATTGATTGAAAAATATAGTGAATTCGTGCTCCTCCAGCAAGCTCAGATGTTGACATTTCTTCATTTCTGCCCTCTATCATTGAAGAAAATGCTGTTTCCAACAAGAAATTGGCACACATTAATGATCTTAAGCATGAAGAAGAAATGATAGAATATCTATGAAGAAGACATAATTCAAAATGTGAGTGAAAAGAATAACAAGAATTACCTTCAGAATATTTTGAAAGAATGTTCAGAATAAGAGTTCCTTGTCCAGCCTATTATTTACAAAAAGTAGTATAACAAGTTAATTAAAACAATAATATAAAAACATACTTTGGCAAGAGTGGACTACTAGAACCTTCTGAAAACACAAGGAACAGTCACAAAATAAGAACTCAAGTATAATAAAATTATGAATGTCAAGCATTAACAACCAATAACATTGCAAAAAACAATTGGGACAATTATCAAGGCAAAGCATCAGCTCAGACAGGTAATATAGGCGGATACCAGAAATCATAAAATTATTTGAAAATAATCTCAATCAAGTTGCAGGGACGCTCAGAAAATAAAAATTAAGTAAACAGTACATGCCTTTGATTCCGTAATTTCTCCATAGCTTGCATGTTCTTTTGCTACAGAAACCAAAGCAGAACTTATGCGTGATTTCAGCCCTGGAAGTATTGATTTTATATGCTGCACTAGAATCTGGAGGGAAAAGTAACAAAATAAGGTTCATTCAGAGGGAAAAAAAATCCTACGGAAGTCCTAGCAATAAATGCAGAACACAAGGAATCTACTATGAAATGATGTCCCTTAAGGTATTCTGAAAGTAGATAATGCTGCAAAAATTCTACCTGATTCAGCTTCTTCGCCAACTGAGGAACGCCACAGCGATCAGCCAGACCACTATATACCTATAGAACAGCATGTGAGCAAATAAAGCAATAGATTACTGTAATTGATTTTGCAACAAATTAGGTATAACAATAAGGAGATAGGGCAGTCATACTGGCCGACTACGGAAGAACTTCTCCTCCGCAGCAAGTGCATCCTTGATGCTCCGATTGAGTATGATATCCTGCATCAGCATCAGGATAGCCATTTGAAAGATTAGTCCATGAGTGGTCTAGAATGTCATGGTTTGTTTATCAACAGAAAGTCACATCATGTGCAATATATTATGGTCCTAACATGCACAACCAGGAAAATTTCATACAAGTTGAAAAGGCTTGCCAAATAGGTTGATATATCTTCAAAATGCATCCCATGCCATAAGAATATTGAAAATCAAACAATCAAGAACAAGAAAAGATTTTAAAATAATGAAAAGGAAAACGAACCATATAGAAAATTCTTATTTTTAATGATTACCAGTACTGGATATTAGTTTCTACATTCAACCAGTAAAGCATCAGCAAAAAAACAATACCAACACAATTCCTTATGGGAAAAACAGGTGCAATGTGCAATGTGCAAAGCAAGTAAAGCATATTAAAAAACAAAAACAGCTGCCAAAATAATTTATCAACCACTTCACCAAGTATCAGCGAAGCAATAACATAAAAGGAGGAATAAGAAAAAAAGAAAGAAAGAAAACGAATGATGTAACGAGCCCACAAAAATAAGATGCAGAAGGATGCGCCATTAAACCACTTGCATGCACTATTCCTACGTAGTTACATAATTACCTCTTGACTACGATTCACAACACCAACATAACCAAGTCTAAGGGGAATCACTTTTCCAAGCAAAAGATTCCGAGCATCAGTGCCTCTGTCCATAATGTCCAACTGAGTCCAAGAAAAAACATGAAAATCCTTCTAAGAAGCAACCAAGATGCTGTAGATGTTAAAACACACAAGAAACATGATGTTGAAGTTGCAAGCTCACCTTTGTGATTATTCCAATGGTTCTATAACCTGTCAAAAAAGATTAGCATAAGTTAAACAAGATAAGCAAGACCAAGTCATTCAGACAGGATATCAAAGGCACACTTACCATCAGGATCTGCATTTCCTGCAATCTGAAGAGCATCTGAGTTTGCTAAATCTGAATTTGCTGCTGTAACAGCTAGAATCAGACAGCTTGGTTTTTTAATATATGACATGATCATAGTTCTAATTCGTGCTTCAATATCAGAGGGTTGATCACCCACAGGAACCTTTGTTATACCAGGTAGATCAACAAGTGTAATATCAAGAACATTTGGTGAAAAAATCTTCAAACGAATTTGCTTGTCAGAAACACCTTTGTTGCCTCCTGCTTCCTTAGCAGTCTCAGCCTGCAATCAAATCAATATTATTGAATAATGAGCTGACTGATTATTGAAAGTGAAATTTATTAAGTGGATATCAACAATCAATGAACCAAACTCTGATGTACAGTTAAATATTTCTAAGTTGAGAAAATCTATCAGAGCCCCGCATGTAACAAAGACTTGATTAAACATGAATATTACCCTATTCAATACAAAGCCAAAAGAGCAGTTAAATAAAAACCTGCATATTCAATAAATTGTGTTGGTACTTACTTAGCAATTAACAAGAAGACTGTTCTTTTATATTAATTGGACTTTATCACTTCCATTTTTACATTGCAATATCTATATCAAAATGCTACCCAAAGTACAGCCAAACAAGTTTCCTTCTGATAAACAAGTAAAAACTTTTCAAAGTAAGGGTTTTTGCATCCAGTGTAAACAAGGCTCTTCAAGTACTTGGAGAAAAATCCACATGCCTAATCCCTAAGTGCTAATTCCGCAACTCCAACAGCATAAACAATGTGAAATAACTCCAATATCACTTCAAAAGTAAACAAATTATAAATTTAACAAACATGTGAAACAAAACAATAATTTCCAGAAAATATGCAAATTTTTTTCCTCACTCAATTTCATTAAGAAATTTTCAAAAAACCTAGCATTATAAGTTAATCACTCCCCATAGAACCATCCAAGCAAAATGTCCCATCTGAAACAATCTAATCAGTTGGAATTTATTTATAACCACCCTCCATACCTTTCTCCATAAATTAAAAAAAAAAAATTCAATGGTTCCCAATAACAAAATCACTAAACCATTCAACTACCAAAACCAACTAAATACATCATTTAGTACACTCAATAAAATCACTCAAGCAAAATTACACTAACAAACCAAAACAAATCACAGTATAAAATTAATTAATTCAAATAACCTCACCATTCATACATTCCTAAACACCAAATAAAAACTTCGTCAATTTTTTTCCTTTACACTTTTCCTTCAACTATTAGCAATTGAATTGCTAAAAGAAACTCTGAATTTAACTACACCTTGAAATTCTCCTAATTTTTTACAACTCAGTTCAACTATCATAAAACAGAAGACCAGCAAGCCCACACACAAAGAAATAATAAAAAAAAAATCAAAATTGATCTCTTAAGACATTTACAATACAGGAAAAAAACACAAATATTCTTTCATGCAATCCAGACCTTAATTTCTCCATATTTTTGTTCAACTATTACTAATAAAAACAACACGCAATCCATGATATATACATACAACTACTCATTCAACAAAACCATTCTTTAATTTCTCAAAATTTTCTCTCCAATCATCAATGGTTCCAAACACACAAATATCTGAGAAATTACTATTAAACTCTTAAACGGTTATAATAACCTAACCTGACAGCAAACGAATTTCCATTATATAATTTCGCTAGCGAAATGAACAGTAATTTTGATTGCTTGGGAGTGGTAGAGCCTTATTTTCTATAAAATATCTTCAACAATCACAAATTACAGAAACACCACAAAATGAAACTCCAAAACTGAATTCACAAACACACAAAATCTACTACAAAAAGTCATAATCCACCAACTGCGCACCTGAATTTCGCTCCGGATCTCGGAAAAATCATAAAACCGTTTCCCAGGCAAATGCAGAAACTCTCCCCACTCATCTTCACCACTACCGTCACCTTTCCTTTTAGTCTGCAATAACTGCAAAACCAGCGGTCGCCGAGTGCAAATATCGTTTCCACGTGGCAAGAAATCTCTCCCAACAAGTGATTCTAGAACACTCGATTTACCACTGCTTTGACTGCCTACAACTGCCACTTGCGGTAACTCAATCGTCGATTGACTACCTAACTGAGCAAATATATCTTGTAACTTGTTCACTATCGGTATCACCGATGATCCTAGCGGCGGCGCCGATGATAGCGACGGTGATGCTGGTTCCTCCGCCATAGGTTCTGGATCCAGAGAGAAAGAGATGGAATGTGATTGAAACCCTAGCCCGAGGGTTTTGGAGATTTCTAGAGACAGAAAGTTGGAAGTGTTGTGTGTGATTGGATTTTGGTTGGGAGGTGGAGCGTGGTGTGGTGTTCGAGTTTTTTTTTTTTTTAATGCGGCTAAAATGGAAGGAGGGTGTCAAAGGGAGTTAACCTGCGCTCCTCTGTGATGTTTTGTAAGGAAGTTTAAAATTTTAAACACAGTGGGGTATTTATTTAATTAGATAGTGCTTGTATTTACGGAATAATATTTTTTAAAACTTTTTTTAATGTTTTGAGGATAATTTTATAATAATCAGCGAGTAAATAATATTTTATTAGTTATTTTTTAAAAAAATAAAAAAATAAATATAAAAAAATTATAAAATCAATCATTCATCAAAATAAATAAAAAATATATCTTTACTTAGAGTTTATCTTTCTTGGTTGTATCTTTTATTTCTTTAAAGTAGTATTAGAAATAACTAATAAAATCCCTAAATAATATAAAATTACTTTAGTTTTGATGTATTAATATTAAAAATAAAAAATAAATATTTTTAATGTATTTAATATTTTGTACAATAGTAGAGTTTAAGATTGAAATTATATCTGTTGGTGATGAACAATGGCTTATTAATTTATCCTTCACTCAACTTGAAAATAAAAGGAATGTTTAAAAGTGTAGTTATTATAATTTTTTTAAA